AAAACTGGGTGAATATTTTTACTTTCAGATTACATTTTTTTTCAGTAAAAAAGTGGTTTCGGGACTTCTACGATTGTCTCTGAAATTCGGATGCGGCAAAAAAGGTATATTGAAGGACTCTCAAAGGGTAATAGGCGAATTCTCTGGAAAGCATCGCTGTCCGAAACATTCTCTTTAGCGGTGATAGGAGTTGGTTTACTTTACAATACTTCCTACCTATTTACATCTTCAAAATAGCACGTTCCTGTATACTTTGTCTATCCTTTTCAATTTTACTATTTTGCTGTTGCAGTGCAAATTTAACCGTTTTTTGTCATGTTTGTTCGTCCCCTTCGAAATTTACTTCAAATATAATCTCATCACTTTTTGCCCTTTTACGTGCGATTTACGAATCGCTTCAAAGTCGATTCGGATTTCTTTTGCTTTTTGCATATAAATATATATAAATATTTAATTTGGTACGTTTAAACCGTCACAGAAGATTCACATACCTACTTAGCAGATCAGCAATGGAAATGCGTTATCTTGAGCTGTTACGAATAATTTTGGATCATACACAATTAACTTCATTCCTAGCCCTTGGCACAAGGTAACCTTAGGTCGTTTGTTAAATTAAATAATGTTTTGAGTTGTAAAATACTAAACGGTGTATGAACACCCATCTTTCGTATAAATAAACGTGTAAACAAATATAGAAAATGAGCTCCTGGGTATGGCTATAGCATTAGAAAGACCAAATTTTGAACCTGGTGGTAGTTTTGCTTTTATTTACAGTGTTATGTATGAAATATCATGCTTCCATAAATAAAATAATTCACGAACTCCGATCTACAAATTTGATAAAGAATCCACCTGCAAAATTTCATCGTAATCGGTCCATTCGTTTACGAGATATCGTGCTAACGAACGGACGAACAGAAGGACAGACACCGCAAACTTTTAAACTCGCTAGGAGCTCGTTAATAAACACAAACTGATTCAGATTATGGTCGAGAGAGACCGGAAGAAATCGACTGAATCTATCACACCTTCCATTAGTGGAGTGTTTTTGTCAAAATCACGCTCGAGCGCATTTATTTTAAAACGCAGGGAAAACCGAAACAGATACCAAAAATGTATTGTAGAGGACTCAATTACCTACAAACAAAGTCCGCGAGTTCATCTTATGTCTATTTTCAGCCGTTTTTGAATAATTTTCGCACATAATTTGTAACTAAATTTGTAAACACTGTAAAAATCAAACGAGATATAACAAAAAACCTTCTTGTGAAAATGATAGATGATGGAATTTTGCACAAAAACGGCAGTATCTGCTTTTTTTGAAGGTTTATGCTTTTACAATTTATCTTCCATACATTTTTACTTTCCGACTACATACAATAAGTATTGTAATCGTACTAAATTTTCGATATGTCAATTTTGAGTTTCCTGGGCGTTTTTATTTTTACTTCTTTTGGGCCCCACATTGGATTTTTACGGAATGTGAGAGAACAAAAAAAAAGACTCTAAAAGAGATCGAGTTAACCGTGGGTGAACAGAATGCAAAACTTCTGATTTTGAAATTTTTATCCTTATTTTTCGTTTTCTTTTCTTCTATCTAATTCCGTAAAAATCCAATATGGCGTCCCTAAAAAATAAGAAAGTAGTAGCCTATAGCTTCTACACCTAGCGTGCTATGCAAATTCTGAACAAATTCAGATTCTCCTAGAAAAAATACTAACAGGAACCGTCCATTTCCGACTTTTTAAGCTAACTAAAATGAAAACAAAATTTGGCATTTCAAGTTTTTTCGGTCACATTTAAAAAAAAACACATTTCAAAAATCTGGAAAAATAACTGAGCAATCCCACACTAAATTAATAATCACGGAATTCCGTAGGAAATTTAAGAATTCTTGGTAAATGATATAGTTTAGACCTCGGTTTAGACTCGATTTTAGATAAGACGGTGAAAAAGTAAAAAGGATTTTGTTATTGACCGAATTACGTATACAGGGTGGAAATGTTGTCTGCGACATTTTTTTAAAGAACATTTTGATGGTATCTAAAAAATTTTATCTTTTCAAATAAAGTTTGAAACGAGTTTGTAATTTCGTTTCAGAACTGAAAATATATTTTCTGTTTACCTTTCTCTTGAATTTTCACCTTATAAATACATCTTCTCGTGATCCCTGCTTTAATAAACGAAAAAATTATGATTTATTAAGGAAATATTACGGTGTAAAAAGCAAAAATTACAAAAAATAATTAAATTTTAAATACATACACAATATAACTTTTGAACATTAAAAATTGAACTTATAAATGGCAGTTCAGATAGGTATATAATTTTCAAAATGCTAAAACCTATAAAAAATGAAAGATTTTTAATGTGCATCCTTTATTCTCTTTATTAAAATTGGAAGCTTTTGAACTCCATTATTGAAATTTCCTTCACAATCGCGATTTGAAACATTTTTTATACCCGCAGATGTCCAAATTTTGAAATTTTTGACCTTCGGTGAAATTAAAAATCGCAGAGTCGTCAAACCGATATTTGATCGCTCAAAATCGCCATACCTTGATATTATTCGTTCTAGATTTCAGCTTCAAACTTTCATACTCCACATTGTATAATATGGTGAATTTTAACTGAATTTTAAAAATTATCTGCCTGAAACGATTGTTTGTACCTACATCTTCATTTTGCATGCTCCAAAACTTAAAATAAAATGTTGCAATTTGAAATTTGAATGGTATTTCGAACTTCGTTTTAAATTTCTAGATGCTGAATATATAAATATGAATATATAAAAAAAATTCCGGAATTTCAAAGGAAATTTTGGTACAATAAAGGAATTTAAAAGTTTTAAAAAATGTTCCTTATATTTTCCAATGGTTTTTAAGAAATACTTACGTATTTTGTAACTTTTAATAGTATGGGTATTTATAGTGTACCTAAATTTTACGATAACTGCCCCTTTGTTGATCGGTTAAATTAAAAAATCGAGGAAAAGATAGTCCACACAGGACGAGATGGTTTGATTGTTATATAGGAAACTAATGCGAATGGATTAATGAAAAGTTGCATATATGGGTAATGGTTAGCCCGATTTTCAATTTTATACCATTTGTTGTCTCGAAAGTTGGCCCATACTTCCTTATTTTAATCGAGATTTTAGTTTAGTTCTATTTATTTTGATATTTGATATGGGGAACCATAAACCTGAGTCGAACGGTTTCTAATTTATTCGAATTTTCCGATGGTTTTGGAAAATATACTTCGAGGGTTACACTGCATTTTGTAAAAAAATATTTGGGATATGTTTTACCTGCAAAGATGGTCCAACAAATTTTTACGGCGTATAAATTTCGTAGTTCTCACTTTATTTTTTAAATTCCACCCTTTTTGGTGTTCAAGAATGGATTCTACACTGAAACTGAGCAAATTTTGCACAGATTAAAAAAAAATGTATTAAGAAAATGAAACATGAAAAAATAACATGGGCTATCTTACGGCACAGCCGGAAACCGTATAAAATTGGATACATTAAGCTTATTGAATAACTCACAGTATTAATTTTAAGAAAAAGCTCTTTTTAATTAAATTGCAGAACCCACTAATGTTTCGGATCAAAAGACAAAAAAAAAAGGTTTTCGCAAGATATCTTGTTAGCTAAGCTTTTTTCCAAAATACAAAGATCCAGATTGTTGTGTATGTATCGAATATATGCAGAAATTCTCGCGTAATTTCCTCGCAAGTAATAAAATTTCGAAAACGACGTTTACAAGAATGCTAAAGTGTTCGTTATTTGTGTAAGGGTGCGAAATATTGTTTTATGTAAGGACGTAGAGTAATTGGTAATTCTCCAGAACGGTCCTCCATATGTTTCTGTCTTAATGGTGAATTAAAGGAACAATATAAGTTTATTCCTTCTATAAATCGTACAGAAATCTGTAGGCTGTTTGACAGCCATCATTTATCTCATTTATCTTGCTTCATCGAGTTAATCAGAAACATTCAACCAATTCAATAAGTTATTGATTTCCCCATTTTATTGCGACATTAAAATTGTGAGTTTCCTTTCGTCTCTCTAAATAAATATACAAAGTGAAAATATATTCCGTGGTCCCTTGCAAGTAAAATCTACGCATAAAAGTATCTAGGTCATTTATTTAATAAGTGTTTTCCTATGTTTCCGACAAAAACGTTCATCTCTTATAATTATTTCAACAGAGTTTGTTTAGTCCTTTCATTACAGCATTTGTGCGAGTTTGTGGAGCTCTTAAGGGTGGATAATTCGTATTTTTCGTCCTTTTATATACTTGGGATTATAATAAGTAAGCACCTTTTCAATGTCAGATGAATCGTCCAAACCAAAGAAAAATATAGAAATGTGTATTGCGAATGGAAGACTGAATTGATATAAAAACTGGTAGGTTATGGGATGAATGAAAAACTACCCCAAATAGTTTATAGGGTATCAAACCTTAATTGAAGTTGAACAGCAGTATCTCAACCTCGATTTCAGAACCATCAATGTATTAGATGTATTTTGATTACAGGAAGTCATCTAAAACTATACAGGGTGTTCCAGGAGGAATGGGCAGCATTTTGTGAAATTCAAGTAGAGGTTATTTGAAGACAAACACACTAATAACTATATTTTTATTCTCAACCGTTTCGAAGCCAACAATTAGCATTTTATTTACTTAGTTTTGACAAGGTGGCAATAAATCAATTGTATCTAGCCAACTGTAGTCAGCTTGGGGTAACAACTGAGTTGTTTTGGATCAGTGTGACTGCATCAAAGGTTCAAAAATTCCACCTTATACGTTAATGCACTTCACCACCCTTCTTAAATTTGTCCTCTTTAAATATAACCTTTACTTTAATTCCACAAAATATTGCCCATTCCTCCTGGAAAACCCCAACTTTTTTGAATGATACAGGCCCTATCGATTTCCACCTTAGGCAGTTATGTAATTTTGGATTTATGGTAACAAAACTGGATACTATACCAATCAAGTACAACGGTGCGGTACGGGGGTTGGGGCCCGAAGCATTTTGCCCCGTTTGCCCCCCCTTTCTCGACGGCCCTGATGCGAATCACAATAAGCGCTCCATAAAAATCGGTACCTTAGGTTAGTCAATTGGTAAACTATAACGAAAGTTTCTGACCTTTTGCCAACAAAAAAGTGAAAATAAAAAACACAGTAGGTAATCTTGAACTTGAACATTGAACAACAATATCACTTATGGCTGCCACGCCACACTACGCACTAGACTGTTTAATTACGGCATAAAGTAGCCAAGACAACTACGCAATTTGCTGAGTAGCGAGTTTGCTCGCAGACGTGCTGACGTTTAAAAAAATTACGGTACCCATTGGTATCGCACTAAATTAAATTTGAAAAAGGTTAGGATTATTAGCGATTATCCAGATCGTTATGCAATTCTTGATTTTCGGGAAATTGTAAAGGAAAATGATTTTGAAAAATAGTAATGATGTCGATTTATATTCGTAAATATCCGTTGATTGGAAGCCCAGCTCTCAATTTCAAAAACATTACGGTTACATTTTGATAAGTCTTTTTGAAGTAGTTTGTTTTGAAATGGATAAAAAAGGAAGTGCCGAAACCCGGGATTGAACCGGGGACCTTTAGATCTTCAGTCTAACGCTCTCCCAACTGAGCTATTTCGGCTTACATACTGAAACAACTCAGTCTTGAGTATTTCTTTTTTTGAAATGACAGATTACTGCTCTCTCCCAGACGGACGACAGACAGCAATACAAAATTATAAACGATCTCTAGGATCGTTAATAAAAGGCAAAAGTGTAAAAATATGGAACATGTAAAAAATGGTTTTTTGGTTTTTTCAAAATAACTTTTTTAGCAATAAACGCAGAAAAATTCCTTCCTTGGTGCAAGCCTCGACACCATAACGAACCAAATAGTAGAAGAATAGCTCTTAAGATGAAGAACTAGTAGCGTCCCAACGAATGTCCGGACGGACGGACAAAGTGGCCACAATCACAATAGCGCATTTTTTTATATTTTTGTGGAAATGCGCTAAAAATGCATTATTAATTCAATAAAGGATTCTTTAAAATATACACTGCCTATATTGAGAGCATAGGTTTCACTTTATAGTGTCTACTCATAAAGCTGGAAGACCTTTTCTTTAAAGTCAATGTACGATTTTTACCACCCGCACATTAGTAAGGTAATGCAGGTATATTGCATTCGGGTAAAAAATGGATCTCGCACATCCGAACCAAACAAAATCTCGCTGATGTCGGTGTGTCCGTCGATCTGTCTGTCTGTATTCCCGTTTTCGGCCAAACGACTGGACCGATTGGAACCATATTTGGTAGACACTTTCTTTAACCCTTCTACGCCTTCAACAATATGTTCATCCTTCAATGTCCACATCATGTTCCCACAAAGAAAAGAATAAGAATACCACAACAACCCTCTTACAATGTTTCATGTTTGCTTACACTCTCCAAAATCCATTTTCTTTACAATACTCTTCTCATTCACTGTCATGTTTATCCTTTCTGCACCTTCAAAAATTGTTTTCACCCCATACCGTTCCTTTTCTTTACTTCTTAAGGCACCAATATCAAGAATAATCAAGTCAAAGCAACCAGCACTTATAATTTTTCATTATTGTTAACCCTTCTGCCTCCTCATCAATTCTTTCCCCCCTCCAAAATCCCTTTCCTTTACTACTTGCGACACCGATTTACGGACGTTTCGCCGCCGCCGTAAAACTACCATTTTGTTGCTAAATATGACATACGGAAGAGGCTAATTCTTTGACTTATTTTATGACTAAAAATTCAAAATGCCTCGTGACAGATCTACAGGGTGTTATAACTTAACGATTTTTTAATTTTTTCTTTCTCCTGCAGTTTTTGAGATATTTAGCTTAAATTTGGAATATGTGTTACGCTGAAGGTCATGCCAATGGTATAATAATGTTTTTCAGGGGTCATGTTCCAGTTTTTACGCCAGAACTTTTTTCGGCGCAAATCGCAGGTAGTAATATTACAAGATCTAATAGGTACTGATCTTACCCTCTATTGTTCCAATGTTACATATAATAATGATTTACTAATATATTATGTATTATGTAGTGGTAGAGTGTTGGTCTACATAGCCGGAGGTTGGGTGTTCTAATCTGACTTGAGGTAAGAATTTTTCATGTGTGACAGAGATGAGAATTTTCTTAGAAGTCCTCTTTCTTTGCTTCTTGCACCACCAATACCACAACTGAGCATGTCATAACAACCCTGTTATAATTTTTTCATCATTGTTAACGCAACAATCGTTTACACCCTCCAAAATCCCTTTTCTTTACTTCTTGTTGCATACATGAGTTACTTAATTATCCCGTTTCAGTAAAAATTTTATCTCAATTTGAGTTATATACTTAAGGGTGAGTTTTTTTAAATATTTTCACTGTGTGGATCTCGTAAAACGTAAGAGTCTCTTAAATTAACAAAAATAGGCAGCTCCCCTTTCAAAGATACTTGTATCTCTACCAATAGCGGAGTTATGGCCAAAAAAACGAAAAATGTCATTTTCCAGAATGCGATTTTCAAAGATATCAAACAATAATTTGAACAAACCCCTAGTGATTTTTTCTTAGCTCTCTGGATGGTACTAAAATAAACTTTTTATGACTTGTGGGATTTCGAATAAATCACATCAACTGTCTTGTTTCTTATAGACGCCATGTTGGATTTTTACGTCACTCGATAGAGAAAAAAATTAGAAAATTTATTATTAAATTTGACAATCCTTCTCTCATATTTTATTTAGTTATTAAACGCTTTGTTTTTCTTTTCTTCACATCCATGTCATAGACCAGGAAAATCTTTGACGAAACTCAAGGTCATTAACTTGGTCCAGAATCCAAGACCACGACTCTGACCAAAATCCAAGATAATGACCCCAAACCGGGGGGACAAGGTGTCCTACCAGTGGCGAACTTTGAAGGGTATATCAAAAAATAATCTTGCTACCCTGAAAATAAAGACGTTTTGCCATTTCCTCATAACTTCTATAAGAGGGCACATATTATGTAATTCGATTTATTAGTTACTAATCAACCACAATTAAAAATGCCTACTCATAAAGCTGGACATACCTTTTCTTTAAAGTGAATTTACGATTTTTACCACCTTCACGTTAGTAAGCGAGGTATTGACCCCGCTCCTCACTTTTTTGACAGAAATGCACGTTTTGAAGCACCAGCAATCAGAATCAAACAAAATGATGAAGTAGGTGTCCCTGTCGGTCTCTCGGTCTGTCTGTCTGTACTCTTATTTCCGGCTAAATTGCTGAACCGATTGGAACTGGGTCTAGATTAACTTTTACTGATGGTGTTAAAATTTCTATGAAATAGCAAATAAGAATGTTTAAATGCGATTGAGCGTACAAGCAAAAGCAGCAAATATCAGGACGATGGAAAATACACCGCCCAAATTGGCAAGTATAACGAACACCTCAATGTGGCATGTATAGGCAACCTACATCACACCAACGTCGATGAAACGTGCGAACTAAACAACATTATCGGAATATCGGAAACAAATATCCCTAGAACCTCACCGATACCGCCAATCTCGTAAATTCTAAGAGATACAAAGTCGGACCTGCAGCACTTTATGATGATTAATTTTCCCTTTCAAAGATTCTTCTATCCCTACAAATAGCAAAGTTATGACCAAAAAACCAAAAAATGTCATTTTCGAGAATGCGCAGCTCTCATTTATTTTCCAAGATTAAAAAAAATAGTTCTGACTAACCCTTAGTGATTTTTTTCAGCTCTCTGATGATGAGAAAATAAACTTTTTACTTGTGGATTTGTCATATTTCTTATTTGGGAAAAGATAAAAAAAAGGAATGCCGAAACCCGGGATTGAACCCCCCAACTGAGCTATTTCGGCTTACATATTGACACATCTATGTAAGAGGATTTGTTTTTTTTTTATTAGTTCGACTGTCTCGGTGTTTTCAGGAGTTTACATTACAGGTGTGAATCTTTTGTGAAACACCTATCCTAACGATTCGTCAATATGCGTTATTTTGACACTTTTTGCTTAGCATGATTTTTTTTACTGAGAAATACCTTGGGCATACCTATGGGAACCTTTTTTGTTATTAACATCAAATTTTCCGTATTGCCTAATATTACTACGAGCCCTCGCGTCGGCGTCGCCTGCGATTGCTGACGTCACCAAAGCAGCCGGCACTTTCTATAGAGTTATATGCGTGCGGATATAAAATTATAAGCATACAAGTATTTAATTATTTTTTTTTATCTCGCCGACTAACAATTTGTACAAGAGGGAAAAAACGACCCGTCAGTCGATTTTTAAGTTTGTTGTAAATCGACAGCCAAACAATTGTGGGCCAATGATCCAACACCAATTATTTAATGACTGCCTTCCTACATCTGCCAACAGTAACTATGTATGTAGCGCGTCTCCTTTGCCATTTTAAGTTATCGTGTCCTGGAAAAACTTACAAAGACGCCAATCGTCTAAAACGTCATTTAGAACTGAAACACGCCAACGAACCAATTCCATCTCAATCTAAAGAAACACTAATACAAAGCATGGGATTTACACATGTACCGCTTTATAGCGAATAGAAGTAAAATTACGCCCAGAAATAAATGCTCTTATGAGACATGACATTTGCCACAACACAAATCATACTGTAGCTATACTAAGCTATAGACTTTGGTGGAATAGCTGTCGCAGTGGCTTTTGCGGGTTTTGTTCAAGACGAGCACGCAGATCTACTACTGCCTCGTTAATAACTGTTGGGCGACCAGGGGATTTTCCACAAACAACACTTCCTGTATCGTCAAATCGCTTAACTACACAAAAAATGTGGCGGCGTAACTTCTCGTAATCAACGACATGTTCAGGATATGCCTCTAGATATTCTTCCATGCACAGGCGAGTCGAATACGTCCAAACTCCGTTTCCGTCATTGCGTCCATTACGGAAATGGGCCTGCAGAAGCAGCTTATTTTCGTACATGAAGCATAAGTGTAGGTGAAATGTACTTCCATAAATCCAGTGCTGTACGTACTATGTATTTGCAATGTACGTGCTTGTGTTATTTATTGGTTTGTATTTTTCTGTGTTTTATAGGGGGAGGATTTAGTT